TTTCGAGTTTACATCGATTTCTTCAAGAACTTTAAAGATAAGTTCTTTAAAGTTTCTACACATCCTGGTAAGAGTGTATGGTTTCTTGATAACTGTGGTATCGAGGATGTAGAGGGAAAATTTCCTTTGCACTGGTCATTTGACCATTATCAACTTCCCCCTTCAAGCTACTGCATCTAAGAGATCGAGTTGAATCCTACAGATGTCGATAGTGTAATTGCCATTGGTACATATCTGCAATCGCACAAGCATACTAGTGTTGCACCTCTTCTTTTCAAATCGCAAGAGGAGCTCGATGCTAAACTAAGTATGACTCATTTTTTCCATTGCATGCATACTCATTATGTTGCATCTAATAACTTGTTTTATTATTTCTGACTTGCAGTTCCTAGCATGGAGAACCAACATAATGAGCCCCCCCAACTGGCTGGCCGTTTTGACTCAGCAAAAGGCAACTTCAGCTGAGTTGCCGAGAAAAAGGAAGGCGTCTGAGCTTACGAAGGTGGCCATTACTGAAAAACCTAAAGGTGTGTCGGCTGATAAAAGTAATGTCATTTCTGGCAATGCCAAGAACAAGGGGGTCCTGCTGATACTGGTGCCCCTGCATCTTCTCAGCGAGTGATGAAGACTCCTCCACCTCCTCCATCTCCCGAACTGATCAAACATGTTGTGTGGCAGTCCGGGATGAACGGTGTTCTCTGGGATGCAATTTGTGCTCCAGCACCCTTTTACAACTCTTCTCCTCTTACCGCTGCCCAGATTAAAGAGGTGGAGGAGATGGAACTTTGCTGTGTGAAGATGGCCGGATTAGCAAGGCCTTTTCTTTCTCTTAAGCAAAATTATCTTCGCTCTCTAAATGAGACAGCTGCATCCTAGGAGGAGAGAGCCAAGACGTACGGCGAGTTGCCGAAGGTGAAGGTGGATTTCTCCTCTTTAAAAGAGGAGCATGGCCAAACTATTGCTGACCTAGCCAAAACAAAGGAGGGCTTCACTACTCTTAAGCGGGATAATACTCAGCTTTGTAACCTGAATGCCGCCGAAGGCATGAGGATGAAGGACATCCGGATAAGGTATGGGAAGTTGGAGGAAAAGTTGAAGGAAGTTGACCAGCTCTACCGGGGTGAACTTGAGAAATCCATCACCGGTTCCTTCTATCTGGATTTATCTAAGGTAAAGGAAATGTTGTAACCTGTCCCCCTTAGGCCTTCGACCAAAGTGAGGAGCATTTCGACTTGATCAGAGTCAACATGACAAGTTGCACTTGTACCTCTGAGTTTGTATTGATGCATCAAAAATGGTTAAGGATAAATCTTAAAAGAATAATTTCTCATTTATTGATATCAAATTGTTAACTACATGAATTTGCCGGCATATTTGGCTTTAGACAAGTTCCTAAAAAAGGAAAATAATTCGCCTAGGAAAATTTCAAATAAATTGAAAAACTTCAAGTCTTCAGAAAGTGGATCCCGAATTCAACTGTAGTATATTTTCAGTTTATCCGCATTCTAGGTTCTTTTGAATCCTTTGCCTTCTACTGTTTCTAGGACATAAGCCCCTTTTCCAAGCTTTTCATTTACTCGATAAGGACCTTCCCAGTTTGGAGCTAGCCTTCCATCTCTGGCATTCTTGTTGCCGATGTCAGCTCTTCTGAGTACCAAGTCATTTTTCTCAAACACTCTCGGTCTCACTTTTTTGTTGTATCTGGCTGTTATTAGTTGTTTGGTCATCATATCCCGGCAACGAGCTGTGACTCAAGCTTCATCAACGAGATCCAACTTAGCAGTAAGCAATTTACTATTTTCTTGTTCATTCTGCTTAATAGCATTCATTCTCCTCCAAGAGGGTTCTCCGATCTCCACCGTAATCATGGCTTCGCATCTATATGTCAATCTGAAAGGGGTTTCCCCCGTTGTCTGGGTACTCGTTCGGTATGCCCATAAAACAAAATATAATTGATGGACCCAGCTTTCTTTGGCATCCATCATTCGTTTCTTGAGCCCATCAACAATTACCTTGTTCGCAGCTTCAGCTTGCCCATTTAACTATGGGTGTTACACAGATGCGAAGCGATTTTTGACCTTTAGGTCTTTCATAAACTCCTGGAACCTTTTATCAGCAAATTATATTCCATTATCAGTTACCACCTCGGCTGGTATTTCGAATCTGGACACAATGTTCATTTCAAAGAACCTTTGTACCCTTGCCGAGGTTATTGTGGTAACCGGTTTTGCTTCTATCCTCTTGGTGAAGTAATCTACAGCCACTATTAGCCACTTCAATTGTCCTTCAACAGCTTTGAAGGGTCTCAGCAAATCCATTCCCCATTTGAAAAAGGGCCATGGAGCCGAGATGTATTTCAATTCCTCTAGTGGTGAAAGAATCAACCTGGCATGTTTCTGACAACTGTCGCACCTTTTGACATGTTCTTTGGAATCTGTTTCCATAGTTGGCCAGTAATAACCAGCTCGGAGGGCTTTCCTAGCCAAAGCTTTCCCCTCATGTGATGGCCATTGATTCCTTCGTGTATCTCGGCTAGCACATATTCTGCTTCTTCCGAGTTCAAGCATTTTAGCATAGGGATATGCAATCCCTTTCTATATAGCTGGTCATCCACAATTGCGTATTACGTTGCATCTAGGACCAGCTTCCTGGACTCCAATGGATCGTCAGGCAATGTTCCTTTCTTGAGGTATGCCACTATGAGTTGTCTCCAGTCATTTGCCGAGGTGATTATCATCACGCAACTCGGCTCTGTTCTACTTTGCTGCACCACGGTTCTATGGTTGCCTGGATTTTTTGTACTTGCCAATTTAGATAAGATGTCAGCTCGACCATTTTTCCCTCGAGGAACATGAGTGACTTTCACCTCATCGACTCGGCCATCATTTCTCTAACCTTGTTCAAGTATTTCATCAACAGAAGGCCTTTGGTCTGATATTTCCCTTCCATCTAGGAAGTCACCAGTTGGGAGTCACTGAAGATTTTTACCTTTTTGGCCCCATGCTCTTTAGCCTGCATCAACTCGACTATTAGAGCTTCATATTCTGCTTGATTGTTTGAAGTTGGGAAACCCAGGTTCAAGAAGTGTTCTATAGCCACCCCTTCTGGACTTTCAAGTATAATCTCAGCTCCACTTTCTTTATCATTAGAGGATTCATCTACGTATACCTTCCAAGCATCTTCAACTTCTCCTGTATCTGAGCTGACCGGGGTGAGTTCCTTTACGAAGTCATCCAGAGCTTGAGATTTAATGGCCTTCCGACTTTCATAAGTTATGTCGTATTCAGAGAGTTCAATAGCCCAACTAGTCATTCGTCTTGCCAGGTCCGACTTATGTAATACCTGCCGTATAGGTTGATTAGTTCGAACTTTATCTGGTGTCCTTGGAAATATGGCCGCAGTCTCCTTGCTGTAGTCAACAAGGCAAAAGCCACTTTTTCCAGCTTCTGGTACCTCAAATCGTGCCCTTGCAAGGCCCTATTGACGAAGTAAATTGGCTCCTGACCCTTGCTGGTTTCCTTGATCAGGACAGCACTTATTGCCTCTTTCCCCACAGCCAGGTACATGATCAGAATATCTCCTGGTTCTGGCTTAGACAGCACTTATGGGGTTGACAAGCATTTCTTGACCTTGTCGAACGCGGATTGACATTCCGGGTTCCAGCCTGGCACGACTTCTTTCTTTAGTAATTTGAAGAATGGGAGGGCATTTTCAGCAGACTTAGGTAAGAACTGGGTTAAAGCTGTTAACCTACCAGTCAATTGCTGAACCTCCTTCTTATTCTGGGGTACTTTCATATCAAGCACCGCTTTGCACTTATCGGGATTCGCTTCGATTCCCCTATGGGTTAACATGAAACCCAGGAACTTTCCTGTTGGAACTCCGAACGCACACTTTACCGGGTTCAGCCGAATACGGTACTTTCACAGCTTCTGGAATGTCTGCTCCAGATCTCGGACATGGTTGAAAATGTCGAACGACTTGACGATCATATCATCAATGTACACTTCTAAATTCTTGCCCAGTTGGTCCTTAAATACTTTGTTCATCATTCTCTGGTACGTAGCTCCAGAGTTTTTGAGCCCAAATGGCATCACATTGTAGCAGTAGTTGTCTTTTTCAGCAATAAAGACAGTTTTTTCTTGATCTTCAGGATACATCAGGATTTGATTATAACCCGAATAAGCATCCATGAAAGATAGCAATTGGAATCCAGCCGAGTTATCCACCAGCTGGTCTATGTTAGGCATAGGATAAGAATCCTTTGGGCATACCTTATTTAGATCTGTGTAATCAGTACAGACCCTCCATTTTCCGTTAGGTTTTTTCACCATAACGACATTCGCAAGCCAGGTTGTATATTGTATTTCACGAATGAACCCGACATCTAGCAATTTCTTCACATGTTCCTCCAGAACTTGTCTTCTTTCTGGCCCCAGCTTTTTTTTCTCCTGAGAAACCGGTGGCGATCCCGGGTGAACTGCCAGCTTGTGGCAGCAAAAAGTTGGATCTACGCCGGGAATCTCTGATGACTTCCATGCAAAAACATCCGTGTTGCTTTTGAGAAACCCGGCTAATTGTTCCTTGATTTGGGGATTTATGGCCTTAAAAAATTCGGGTAAATTGACCAGGTTCTTCTCCCAGCACAAGGTCTTCCAATTCCCCATTAGGCTCTGGCTTGGGAATCACTTCTTCTCTCATGTCGAGCTCAACCACATTGACAAATTTTCCTGAATGATGAGGGGTCACTTTTTTGCTGGCTTTATCCCCTGGACGTATCCGATGTGGGCTCAGGTGTCCTCCTTCATTTCCTTTGACTGTTTCAAAGTAGCATTCTCTAGATTCTTTCTGATCACCACTGATGGTAATAACTTCATTCTTGCTACTTACCATGTTTATCTTTTGATGCTTTGTGGAGACCAGCATGTCCCATTTGTGTATGGTTGGTTTCCTAGAATTATATTATATTCTGACGGGAAATGCGCCACTATGAATCTCACTCATTTTGACTTGAACGCTTCTTTTGTTTCTAGGGTTAACCTGAGATCTATGTAGCATTTAAGAGGTTTATTTTCTCCATTAAAGGCTATTAAGGTTGTCTTGCAGGTTTTGAGGTCTTCCTCATCAAGGTTCATCTTCTTGAAAGCACCCCATAGTATAATGTCGGCACTACTTCCCGCATCTATGAAGATCTTTTTAACCCGGTAACTTACCAGGATTCCGGTGACAACTAGTCCATCCACATGCCCTGGCAAGACACCTTGCATGTCTTCTTTTGTGAAATAGAGCAAATGAGGGTTTGGTTTGCTAGGGTCCTTCTTAAATATAGGACGATCCTGGATTGAGAGTACTTTCTTTAAGTACTTTCGTCTAGCATTTACCGTGTGTCCTCCTCCTGCAAGGACTCCACTAATCACGTTGCAGTTGAACTCCGTTTCTGGGAACTCGTCATTATTGGAATCATCTTTCTAGTTCCTTTCTTCTTTCTTTTTCTTCTCAGGTACTAGACTCTTACTCCTTTTCCGATTTCCAGACTTTCTTTTGTTCTTGGAATCTTGAGTTTTGATCACATACTGGCGTAATTTTCCTTCTCTGATAAATTTCTCCACAGCATCTCGGAGATCCCAGCATTGATCAGTGTTATGACCTGGTCCATTATGGAAGGCACAATATTTGGATTTGTCCAACCCTCCTCTGTCAAATATAGGCCTGGGTTTATCCATTTTTTTCATTTCCGTCATAGCCACTTCCCTCCAAATTAGAGAGTGCGAAGCATTCAATGGCGTGTACTTCTCATACCTTCCAACCCAGTCTCTATCATCCAGATTTTTGCCTCTAGAATCTTTCTTTTTACCAATAGCTCGCTCCTTTTCTCTTGGGGTCGGGCTCCTCCTCCTTGGGCTCACTCTTCTACCTTCCTCAAACTGAGCATTTTCTATCTCTACTTGTTCGAGCTCTAGGTATTTCTTCGAACGAGTTCTGAATTCCTCCAACGTTCTTACTGGGTCTTTATAGATCGACTTGGCTAGTCTAGATGCACCATCCAAGCCAGCCACAATAAGATGTACGTGGACATTTTCCGGTAAACCCGACACTTGCAAGATTGCGTCCTTAAACCGGTTAAGATACCTCTGGAGGGTTTCTTCGGGTTGTTTTCGTATCTTCCCCACGGCGAACTCGGACTTTGGATATTTTTTGCTAGTTGCAAAATTCAGAAGGAATTTTTGTCCAAATTCCTCCAACGATCCAATGGAATTGGCATGAAGGGTTGAAAACCATGCCTGCGCTGCTCCAGTCAAGGCATCGGCGGACCTACACTATTGCCCATGTGGGCAAGTGCAGGCAGTAACTTGCCAAAGTAATTTTTTTTTTCTATTAAAAAGTTGTAGCTGACCTTAAGTTTTAAGCATATGTCACCACTCAACATGCAAAATGTGCAACATAAAATGAAGAGAGCAAAGCTGCAGCTGATCTTAAGTTTTAGACATGATTTTCCTTGTACTATGTTTCTTTATCGGTATGATAAAGACCATCTAAATGTAGCTGTGGTCACTAGTACTATTGAGTACCCATTTGTTAATAATATATTTAACTTAGTTTAGATTTACTAAGTTGTTACTTTCTCTTGTCCTAAGGGTTGGCGTTCTGGTCATGTACCTAAAATTCACATTTTCGATTCTTATATTTAACTTTTTGCAAATGCAAGATAAGACTATCAACTGTATACACTTCCATGAATCCTGTGCATGATAAGAGTTGTTTTAAAAAAATTCGTGGGCCCAGCCCCCGAACTCCCACCATAAATGTGCATACACAAATAAAATTTTCTAGGTCCATCACCGAGTCAAGGTTATGGCAAATATCCGAGATATGAGGGGCTCATCTATCCCACGGATATACATGTCCGTATCAAAAGCATCAATGTGGATCTGCGGGTCCTGGCTTCCATCATATTTCGGCAAGCGCGGCGAATCAAAATCCTCCAGGAAAGGAGCATTTAGTATTTCACTAGTAAAAGTACTGTTATTATACTGCCCCTACTGTATTTCCTCCTGTAGCCACCGGGTTCCACGCGTCCTCTAGTAGCTTGAGCATTTTGGTCAGGGTGTGTACCATCCCGATTTCCCTGGCCATTTATTCTTGCTGAAGCATTCTGGGTAAAGATTTGAGCGGCTGCATTCTGAACTTCCATTGTACCATGATTCGATTTCATATTGCCCCTACCCTGGTTCTCTACCTCAGTAACTCGGTTCTGATGGTCCGGGTTATGGTTCCCTTCCCGGCCATTGGCATCTTGGACGTAGACCTCTCTCACCCCAAGTCTTGTGCTTTCCATTAAGCGATGTTCCAGATCCTGCATTCTCCTCGTATTCTCTTCCTGTATCCTCTGAAAGTTTGTCGTCGCTGGAGGTTATTACGATTCTCCATCTCCTCCATTCGCCGTAAAATTGCAACGAACACATTTTGTGCAAGTCGAGAATCAGGATTTGCAGATTGAGCAACGTGTGCAGCAAAATCCCCAAGATGCTGGGGAGGATTGTTCATATTTGGAGCCGCAACCCGATCATGATGTGCTGGAGTGGAAGCTGTATCTGACACATCCTCACTGACATGCACATGATCGTAATCTATCTCATTCTCAGGCTGGTTCTGAGGTTGATGTCTCTTCCAAAATTGGATCCAGCGGCTGATTCTGAGTGGGTGGTTGTTGGCTGTTACTACTTGTACGGACTGCCATCTTTCGATCAGAATGGTGGGAACTTCAAATTCAGACAAGAATCTATTCCCCACAGACGGCACCAATGTTCTGTCTTAGAGACAAAGATGTCCAACCCAATTGGCTGGTATGTTGATCTTGGATCTATTGCCCTCTCCAAGATATTTATGGAAGAGATACCCTTGAGTCAAGTAGATCACTGTGCACAATAGACTACTAACGAAGTTAGCCAAAGAGGTGTGTGTGCGCACAGTGACAGCGTAACAGTAAGAGAGAGAGAGCGTAACGTGCCTTTAGGGTTTACCTTGGATTTATAGAGATTACTTGTGGGTAGTATGATATGGGCCTTTGGTGCCTCTGATAGGAGCCCAAGCCTGTTCGCTATGCTGTCGTATTAGGATTAGTATCCTTGATGGATACTATCCATAATTATAATTGATTCACTTCTTAAATTGCCCATTATTGGGCCTGCCATTCAATGGGCCCCTTATACGGGTCCATAACAATTATGATTGCTCAAACGATCATTTTATATTTTTTTAACACGAGAGAGCATCCAGATCCATTTTTATACAATATAAAATGCTTGTGCCACGACCTCCCCTGGACTCGAGCCCCAAAAACGTTGTCACTTGTCTGCAAAATACATTTTTAATTAGGGTAAAAGATTTCTCTAGTTAATGGAGATAAATTACTTTTAAGTGATCTCTTTAATTTATTACAGGTTATATTAATCTATGTCATTATAATATTGTAATTTTATAATCTCAAAACGACATCATTTAAGACTCACTGGAAATAAGATGACTAGAAAAATACTTTTTCCTTTTAATAATAAATAAACAAATTTGAAAATTTTGTTGTAACGCTTGGACTGAGAGCAAGGAAGCACGAGCACTTGTAAAAACAGGGAGAGTCGTGTCCGACACGCTCCGACACGGCGACACGTTCCGACACGGTGTCAGACACGCGGTCAACTTTTTCCGACACGTTGACCATTCCGACACGCGAATTTGACCGTGTCCGACACGGTCAAGTGGCATTTTCGTAATTTTTTTTTAAAATTTTTAAAAAAATTTTTTAGAAAAAAAATATTTTTTTAAAAATTAAAATATATTAATAAAGCTTCCAACTGATCATATCAATTTTATTTTTTTGTTTTTTTAAGTAGATAAGAGATCATCTCAGCATCATTGTTGTCAATTCCTATCACGCTCTTGTTGTATCTCCTTGTCTCTGATCTCTCTCTAATATGATTTGATCTCTCTATCTGATATTATATATACCTCTCATCCCAGTTCTTATTTTTTTTATTAAAGCTTCCATCTTTATAACGTGTTGATGGGTATTATTAATTTAGTTTCATTTTTTTTGTTAAATTATTAAATATTAAATGAAAATACACTATATAAATTAAAAATATTATTTAATATTAAAACGTGTCCCAACGTGTCGAAATCCATAATTTTTAGGATTGACGTGTCGAAATATCGTGTCGTGTCGTATCACATGTCACGTGTCGTATCGGTGCTACATAGACAGAGAACATCTAGATCCATTTTTATACAATATAAAATACTTGTGCCGCGACCTCCCCTGGACTCGAGCCCCAAAAACGCTGTCACTTGTCTGCAAAATACGTTTTTAATAAGGGTAAAAGATTTTTCTCTAGTTAATAGAGATAATTACTTTTAAGTGAGCTCTTTAATTTATTACAGGTTATATTAATATTTGTCATTATAATATTGTAATTTTATAATTTAAAAATGACATCATTTAAGATTCACTGGAAATAAGATGGCTAGAAAAATACTTTTTCCTTTTAATAATAAATAAACAAATTTGAAAATTTCGTTGTATCGCTTGGACTGAATCCTCTGACCCCCGGTATTGTTTAAATAAAATATAATTCTATCCATTAAACCTAAAATTTTATCAATTTAATCATTAATTTGAGACTGCAGAATTTTTTTTTTTACCCTTATAAAATCAAAAGGTGACACAAGGTATACCATTCAATGTATTATACTAAAATCATAAAACTTTACTAATCTTATATTATATTTAAACTTGTATGTATATATAATATTTTATTTTCAATATATATATATATATATATATATATATATATATGTTTAAGATAAATTTTGGTCAAATGAGATTATTTTGGCCATTTGACCTAATTAGTGAATGTCATATTATTTTTTCAAGTTTAAATTATTTTTTAAAAATTATATTATTAAACTCAAATAACTAGGGAGATAAAATTTTGAATTTTAAAATTTAAGTCAATAAAATTTATCCCAAAAAATTAAACTGATAAAAAGACAAAATTTTTAAAGCTAAAATTGAGTTTTTTTTGTTAATATTATTCATAACAAGTCAGTAGTATTTTTTTTTTATCGTGGGTAATCTTCTTTTAAAGTGGATTATTGCTCTAAATTTTGCGATCTATTTTGGAAGGTAAATAAGGAATTTTGAGTACAATTGATGGAATCATGTCTCAATGGAAGTGCAGGATAAAATATTTTGTGTTTTTTATTCAATTCATAAACATTGAGCTTAAATCGAGAAATTACCAAAATAAAAAAATAACTTCTAGTCTACCAAAAAAAAAAAAAAAATCTACAAAATAACTCTAACAATTATAATAATGGCAAAACGGATGTGACCCGTTGGATCAGTCCATTTAACTCACCTATTTTGACGAGTTGCATTAAATATTTCAACTTCCCGATCAGCTCAACCCACCTATAACATTCTATATTAAGCTAGCTAATATGAAAATATCACATTCACCCATCATTAGTACTTTAATTTAAAAAATTAAAAATTCAAAAGCTAAAAGAATAAAGAAAGGCAAATCACATAAAACTCTTAGGGGGCGTTTGGTTGAGGAAATTTTTTTGGAATAGTAGGGAAATGAGATAGATAGAAAAATTATTGGAAAGATAGATAAAGTGAGATTGGTAGAAAAATGTAAAAAAAAGTTGTTTGGTGGGAAAAAACTTTACTGAGAAAATTAGGTAACTTTATGAAATCAACAGTGCATTAAAAACCAGATAACCGATTTTCCGAAAAATCTCACCTTCAAATTGAGTTTCTAAACAGTGCGCATATCTATGTTTCTCATAAATCCAGACAAATTAGATAGATGGGTTTTTGGTAAAAAACGTTGAAACAAATATGATATTTCTAAAAGCCATACTTGAGAAAGATAGATATCCGCTAAAAAGCTCCCAACCAAACACCACCTTAAAAATAATTATATACATTAAAGGCAGAGTTATAAGTACATTTCTTCACTTGACTAGAAGTATATTACATTAGTGGCGGTGGCAAGCACGTCATTTAATTAGCTGGGCCTAATTCTTATTCTTATTTATTTGTTATAGTATGTAGGAATATTATATTAGTCATATCATAATTAATCATCCATGTGAACAGTAATTGTTTCTACCCTGTGCGACCCCAAACTTCATGGAACTCGATTTTCTTCTCATAAGTTGTAACCATCATTCCCCCTCCGTCATCGGTCATGCAAATACTCGTCATTGTTCTTTTCTGGACAAGTTAGCATTAAAATAAACACAATGTGAGATAAATATAAATCATAGTAATATTAATGTTTTAAACTAAAATCAGTCCGACTGCTATAATAGAAAATATCATTCACCGTAATTATGTTTTATGAAATTATGATATAAATGTTAATTTCAATAATAATTGTAATAATAAATATGATAAAAAAATATGTAACATTAATTGAATTTATTGAATGTCCATCATTTGAGGGTAGTTGAATGTGAAAGATTGTTGAGTGGTTGGGTTCTTAACCGAAATAAGACATCTCTTACTACATTATTGTTCGAGGGAAATGATTCGTTTACAATTTTTTTTTATAAATTACACTAAGTATGATTGGTCATACACTCTTGATTGAAGTATGAACATTCATACTTAATGTAGTTTGTAAGAGTTTATAAACAAAAAGTTTATAAATATAACCTTCCTCATTGTTTGATCCCAAACTTTCTTAGATTAGTTTGCATCAAAATTTAACATTTAAAATTATATATTCTTTAAATATTTATTTGGTATAAAAAATATAAATTTAATCAACAAAATTCCCAAAACTATGAGAAACATGAATTTAAACATAATAACTGAGCACCAATAAAAACTGATATGTCTGAAGAGAATAAAAATAAAAGAAAAAAGTAAAACCGCGAGAAATTCCCAATAGTACATTTTCTCTAAAATATCAACTTTTTTTCTTTCTTTTTAAACCACACTCTCTCTCTCTCTCGATTCTTTCGTTTCCTAAGTTTTCTAATACATTTTTTTTGGTAACAAATAATACATCTTTATTTATAACATGATTATTTCATTATTTTATTATTATTATTATAATATTAAAATGTGTGGAGGGATTTTATTATTATATTATTATATATTTTTTTTCAATGGTACTGAAATTATGGAGAAGAGTTTTGTACACTGGAAGTATCAAATTTTAAGTGATCCAAACCAATAAAAATGTGACAACTAATTAGGACGAGGCGAGAAAAGAGAGTAAATTTTTTTTTTTATACAAGTGTCAATCTCTCAATGAAAGG